ACTGTTGTGCATATCTGCATTTCCTCTCCGAATCTCTCGAGGCCTGGGTTAATATCCTGTTTTCGCAAAGAGGTGACAAGGCCCAGGAAATTAAACTCGCCGGCGGTGTCTCTGAACATATCTCCGGGGCTTCATTAATCTCCCAAGCCAAAGGTGGCAGGAGAGGCTTTCCTGTGCCATCAAAGCCAGGATCGAAGGAGACGAGGCCCTGGGGTGGGGTTAAGGTTTAAGAGCCCCGGGATGCGCTTAAAGCCAAATGCACGGCAGAATGATTCTGTTGCTGAAGCATCGGGGGCGCCTGTAAATGCAGTTTCCCCAGAGTAGGGCTGTGCAATCCCCCTCCAGGAGTGCAGAACCAGAGGGTTGGGCTAGATGACCCTTGCTGTCCCCCCAACCACACAGTTCTGTGATTCTGGGGTAGCGTTATGTTCTAGAAGCCATTTGCTGGTTTCAGCATCCTTCCTCGCTGGGAGGTGTCAAACCCTTCTTCCTTCCGCCACCCACTTTTGCCCACATCTGCCCTTCCTTGGGCTCCTGATTCCAGGAGAAAGCAGACTTTCTCTGGATTCTGGGGACCCACTTAAGTTTTGGGGAACTGGGATCTCTAGAGCCACAATGGCTCACGAGAACAGATAGGGGTGTTAGTTGTTGACGTGAGAAAACTTGGTCAATCCATAAATCTGCCATCCTTAGACGTTTACCGCTAGATGCCCAGTCTGAGCTGGTTAACCAATACCCGAGGTTTCTCTCTTTTAAGTGTCTGGGGGAGGGTTTTGCCCTTGCAAATCAGGGTCCCTCCCCTGTCTCTGAGCAGTCCCCCAAAGTTTTTCTCCCCCGCATAACCCTCTTCTCTCTTTTTCTCCCAGACCATCAGGGCACTTGAGAATTTCCTTCGAATTTCTCTGCCAAGTGGTTTCGGGCTCATGTTATTATAGGAGAGGGCCATTGCTTTTAGGGCTGGGTTCTGGGACTCCACCCCTCCTCAGCCTCCCTGGGTGCCTGCATTAATGCCCCCCATAGGGGGGCTTTGAGGTCCCTTTGCAGGGCAGGGGAAACAAGGGAGCCAGAAGGAGCATTAGAAGGCTTCAAAGGACAATAACAGTGATGATGGCTAAGTGGATCCTCCATGTTCAGAGGCTGTCTACCTAGGGATGCTTGCAGAGAGAGCCAAAAGGCTTGCGGGAGGCAAGACGCTGCGCTGGCCTCAAATGCCCTCCCCGGTTCTCTGCCTGTTTCCCCCCCTCCCCAAACGTTTGCCACTCCCTTGTCTTGCAGACCGGCATCACGGCACGCCAATGCTGCTGGAAGGCGTGAAGTGCATCGGGGCCGAGCTGGAATACGACTCTGAGCAAAGCGAATGGCATGGCTTCGACTAGCCAGGATTCGCCCCCCTCTGCTGCAAACCCCGGGGCCTTCCCGGGGTTCTCTATCCATATATATATTTTCCGGTTAAGCTTGAAATAAAAAAAATTGCCATCTCCACTGTCCGCTGGCTGCCAGACGCAGAGCGCTCTTGTTGTGTGCTGGTCCGATGGCGCTTGTCTTGTGGGGCTGGTGCTGTGCTTTTCTCCTGCCTCCCCCCCGCCGTTACACCCAGAACTAAACTCCTTGTAGGCTGTGGTTTGGACGGGCAGGGGCGCTTCCGTTTCCGTAGCCTCGGTTCTGCAAGCGGCAGCCCTCGGTGGTGCGGCTGTGAGCGCACCCTCTGGCAGCCTGCGCTCCTCGCATTCCGGTGGGCTGTTTTGATTCTTCCTGGTTTAGCAAGGCTGGACGGTCTGCAGAGCGTTTTCTGCAGCTGCAGTTTGTGAATCGGAGAAAGGCGGCTGGGTCGAGGACTTCTGCTCAGACGCCTTCCTGTTTGGGGGAGCTTAGGAGATGCTGCCATTAAAGAAAAGGAAAGGAAAGCTTTCCAGCTTTTAGGAAAGAGGCAGCGGTTTAGCCCTGAAAAGCTGGTTGGGGGGAACAACGGGTCATTTTTGGTGGAGTTGGATGGTCAGCACGGCTGCCCCAAAACAGCTGCTTAGTGCTAAAAGGCTGACCGGAGGAAAGCTCATAGGAGCATCTACCGGATAAACAAGGTTTCACTGTGTTTTTAAGAGGCGAGGTTAGGTTACTGTGAGACTGACAGTTCCTGGGGACCAACATACACACCCCCGTTGCCTGTGGTTGGGTGCCCCTCTTTATTCCTCCTCCCCCTCCCTCTCCCGCTGTTGGAAATGAACCCCACTCGGGACAAAAACGAAGCCTCCCCATCTCAGTTTTGCAAAGATTCACCAAACCCGATTCATTCGCAGCAACCTGGTTTCCGGTTTCCCCTTTGGCCACAAGGATGGATCCAGCTGTGGCCCGGTTGTTATGCACCCCCTCCCGCCACCCCCGTTCAGATAGCCTAGGAAGGTTTTTTTCTTTCAAAAGGCAAGCCTTTTGCTGCATTTTTGGAGATACGCAAGTGATAGGCGAGCGATCTCTTTTGTTGACACACGAGGTTTCGAAGACGTGTGATTTTAGTTTCTCTGTTAAAACGTCAGGCCTGGACCCTGAAGTCCCATTGTGGACTAAGAATCCCTAAATACAAATTCCTTGGGATATCTAGGGCAGTGTTTCTCAACCTTGGCAACTTTAAGAAGTCTGGACTCCAACTCCCAGATTTCCCCAGCCAGCCATGGGAGTTGGAGTCCAGACTTCTTAAAGTTGCCAAGGTTGAGAAACCCTGAAGGGAATTAACTCAGCAGAAGGGTGAGATGGACTGCAGTTAAGATGGCCTTTCATGCAGGTGGAGAAGATCCTTGTAGGGCTGCTTGATCTCCGAGGTGCAACGTTCATTGAGTAGTTTGTGGCTTTTGCAAGTTGGAACTTTTTACATCGGCTTTTTTGACCTGACGGCCCCACGGGTTGGTTTTCCCTTCCTGCAGCGCCCTGTCACCGGCAGCCAGCAGACGCCATGATGATGTGACTTGGGTCATGACATCATCCTCTGTGATGCAGATGTCATCGTGGGGGGGATGACATCATGATGCTTGTGCTGTCTCTGCCTACCCACCCGCCTGTCCCCTAGTGTTCAGGTCCTCATTGCCCACCTAGGCTGGGAAACTGGGCATGGAAGTTCAGTTGAGGTGGGGTTCCTCAGTGTCTGCAGTGTCTGCAGGCGAGCGGGTCAACCTCAGCAGGACGGTGGGCACGGGGTCACCACCCAGACCCACCCTGTTGGTGCATGCACTGACATTGCTCGTGTGTGTAAAAGGAAGAGGGTTGGATGGCAGTGCTGTGCCTGTCATCGTGCCCATTACAACACTGCCGTCCTGCCAGCCCCCGGATTGCGTGGTTGGAGAAGACCTTGACATCTCCCGGCCTCTGCTGCCCTATTCCCTTCTCCTGCCTCCTCCTCCAAAGTGCACCTCTTCTTGTCGGCAAACACCCAGGCAAGACCTCCCCAGCGGGCAGACCCCCAGCAGGAGCGGGATCCAGGAGCCCCCTCTGGCTTTTCCTCTGCTTTAACAGGGGGAGCCCTGGGCAGCCTCTAGTCCATTCCTGCAGAAACAACAGCCTGAATTCTCCCGTGCAGGAGACAGGAGGCGTGTCCGCCTAGTTGAGTCCCAAGATTTCCTATCAAAACGTTCAAGATCTCTCTCTCTCGCCCTCCCCTCCAGCCCCCCCAGATGTGTCCACTTCCTCTCCCCTCTTTCTTTGGGAAAGACTCCTGGGATACAGAGCAGGGATGTGACAGGTAGTGAAAGAAACCAACAGTTTTTATGTGCCTATGTATAAACACACACACACGCACACACATATAAGAGACGTGTGTTTGGGTCTGTTTGTTTTTTTAAAAGCAAACATTCTCTAAAAAGAAATAATAAATTTCAGTTGAAAAAAAACCTCTCTGTTCTTCTGTTTGATCTCTGCTGTGGGCAGGCGGGCGAAGGGGAAGGACAAATGGTTGTTTGGACTCCTTCTGACATTGCAGACCCTTCCCTGCCGTTTTTTTTCTTCGCCAGAAATGTTTCTCCCCGTTTTTGCCCTCCTGGTTCAGTCTGCAGCCTGCGGGTTTCTGATGGGGTCCCGCCCAGTCCTGCCTCTCTTTTTCCGAGGACGACCAAGGTGCTGCTTATCTGCTTCAAGCTTGGGGCGACCCTAAAGCCATTGAGCCAGCTTCCTGTGTGGGGTGGGGTTAGGAATTCCTCTGGGGGACAAAAAGTCCCTGCCCCCAAAGGGGCCTTCAGTCTCTGTGGGGCTTCCCTTTCTTGCCCCAATGTACCTAGTCATGGGGGGTTAGTTTCCTTCTGAATGTGCCCTCCTCCTCTCCCGTTTTGGCCGCAGCACGTGGGCTGAAACATCGTCCTCCAAAGATACGCGCTTCCCCAGATTTGGCATGGCAGTTCCTTCATGCTTGCTAAAAAAGGAGGTTTGGGGAAGGGATCTCTAGAAGTTCACGAGAGTAACGTGCAGAAAAGCATCACATTAGGGGACAGTAGGCCAAGCAGGCGAGTGTGGTGGGGCGTCCTCAGGGCGCCATCAACAAGGTCAAGAGGGTCACCACGGTGCACTTGAAGCTCATAAAAAATGGGAGAGGAAACCATCTTGACTTTGTCGACTGTACCTTCCAGATGCCCCCGTGGAGCTGGCTCACGCTTTGCCTCTGGGCTTTTCTGCTGGGGCTTTTGAGCGCTCCTCGAGTTCTCCAACAGATATGCCAGGGGCCGCCACCACCTTGTGAGTCTTCTTTCCCTGACCCTCCTGGGCTCAGGGCTCGTACTACCAGCCTCTTGGCTCCGTCCTTGGGTTATTCCTGGTCGGGGCGCGCCTGCCAGCCCTTTCCTGTGGGGAGAAGGCAATGGGCGGAGCGCTTTTGAAAATGCCTGGCAATTCCTGGTCCTCTTTTTGCTCACATGCCAAGCCCATCCCAGGAGTTGATCTGGAGGGAAGGGAGCGACAGCCTTCAGGTCTTCCGAAGTGGAACGCGGGGAAGGATCTGAAGCCGCACAAGCAGGGCTGCGGGCAGATCGTTGGTGCGCATCAGGCACTCTGGTTGGACTCAGCTGCCCTCCTGCTGCTTTCCCAGAAGATGCCCATTACGGTTTCCCTCCGCTTAACTGGGCACCAGCTTCTCCACTCTGGGGACTTGGGGAGTAGGAAGAAGAGGGTGCCAAGTACTTTTAAAGAGCATTATTGGATCAAAGCTGGATTTTTACACCTGTGGAGACAGATGCCCACACTAGGAAACAATTACACTTTCCTCTTCTTGTGGGGTGGGCCTGCAACAGTTCTGCACTACATTGTGGGGCCTTTGCTTTCCCTGTGACACTTTGCAGCATTGTTAACTACGGGTAGATTTTTGACACCCTTCTGGCAAAGAGGTCTCTCTAAGTGGTGGAATGCATAGTGAATCACTGCATCTGAATGTCCATTTTTTATAGACAAAGTTAGTGCTCTGAAATCCCATAATTGGTCTCGCTGGGAAGCCAGAGACAGCTGCTTCAAGGTGGCAATGTGGGGAAATGCGAGGTGTTCCTAGATCTTCGGCGCTTTAAAGATCAGCTTTTCCAACGGTCACCCTGCTGTTTTCTAGAATTCCAAGAAGCTCACTTCTGACCATGACCCAATAAATCCCACCAGTTCATGATCTGGGAGTAACTGAAAGTAAGTTGGCCATTTTAAGTTCCAGCTTGCTATCTTTTGGCAGATTCATGACATAAATCTATCCCCCCAAAACCAGCCTGTGGCTGGGCTGATTCCATAAACATGATTCATCCCTGGCATGCGCCAAGTGATCCTGGCTCACAGCAAAGATGAACTCTGCATAACCTCTAGCATTCCGCCAATCCAAAGTCCTCTCATTTCTGGGGCATCAGTTAGAGAGGAAATCGATGGGTGCCCGCACAGTCTTGGAGGTCCAGACGTCCATGGCTGCCACCTTGATCTCCGTATCGCCAAACTGCATGCTTGCTCTTATCTCCCGACGGCTTTTCTTTGGTGAGCTGGACTCCTCCAGATCCTCCAGCTCTAGGCTGATGGTGCCACACTTTCTCACTCCTGGATCAGTGATATAGATCACGTCGTCTGTGGCGCAGCAATAGATGTTAATGATGATCTTGCGTTGTCCCACCCGGGCTGGGCAGTAGCTCCTTTGCACCACTTCGCCCAAGGCCACCGACTGGTCCACAGAGACAAACTTCTCAAAGATATCAGTGCACCAGTTCTTCCCTTCCTTGACCAGGAGCTTCTCCTTGGGGTGTTTCCCCTCCACAAACTTGTTCAGGACCCCCACTCCATAAGTCAGGGGTGAGCGCCTCACCCGGACAATGGTGGGGTCAAGGCCAAACAGCACTGCCCCTTTCAGGATGGTCAGCCCCACGTCTTGCGGGATGATGACCCGGCAGGAGCTGCTGAAGGCAGATTGGACAGCGTGCTGCAAAATGGCTGACTCAGCAAATCCGCCCACCAGGAAGAGGAACTTGATGCCCTTCACTTCAGGCTTCTTCATGAGGTCATCTGAAGGAAGAAGAGATGAGAAAGAGGGGAGGGAAATGAAGTGAGAAGATCACCTTGGTCTAACCAAGGGGGAAAGCTAGCCATTTGCCCAAGTTGGAATATGAAAGAGGTTGAGAGAGGTACAAAGGTTTGCTTCTTTGTAGTTTAGCCTGTGGGATGAATTCTGCCTTTGAACATGGTGGGTTAGCACATATGAACCCAGCCGATTATGCTTCTTGAGTGAAACATGGCTTGGGGTGTTGAGTGAATACAGCTGGTGTCTTGGATTCCCAAACCTGAATATGATGGTCATCTGCTTGCATTTACCCAAATTTGCCCCCAAAATGAGTTGATATGACATTGGCACGCAACACCCTAAGCCTTGCTTTGTTTAACAATGATGTAGTGAATACACCAAAGTTAGGTGGGTTTTCACAGTAGGCCATCATTTACAAGCCACAATGGCTGGGTTCACTGGCTACACTAAGCCAAAGCAACTACTTAGTCTTTTCACTTCCCATTGATAAACTGGCACTTGATCATCATTTAATGTGGTCAAGGTTCAATGAATTATTTAAACATTTAGATGAATATAGAATATGTGTGTGCTTTAATCTGTTGTTTTTCCTCCCCCCTGCCCCCTGATTTCTTCATTCTTTCTCTTTTTTTCATAAAAATGTATGCTTCTTAGAGGAAAAAGTGGCTGGCAAACATGGAGGCCAGCTACATTATGGATTAGGGGATGTACAAACCAGACTTTTTAGGAGGACCTGCCCGTGGGCTGTCCAGCAAGGGAAGGCAGATTCTCTCTGTCCAAAACCTGCTGGGCCAGTCTGTAGGCGTGTGTCCTTGTGAGCGTGGCCCCAGAACCGAAAAGATGGTGGCCATCGTGTGCTTTGCATCATGCCCCAAGACGTCCAAAATCAGTCTCAGGTGCCCCATTTTCCAAAAACCTTGAACCTCCCAATTATGGACAACATTGGCCTTTTGTGGACCGTTTGAGCTCCAAGTCCTGCGTCCGTCTTGCCAATCTGCAGATATCTGGGGCTCCCTCTGCCCCATGGCCCAGCTGGGTCTCTGGAGCTTCAGGAACGCAATGGGGCCATTTGAGGACTCACCAATGTGCTTAATGATCTGGCTGACGGTGGGCTGGAAGAGCTCGTTCATGGCCTCGGGAGACATGCGCAGCATCCCTTGAGAAGACCACTTCACCAAGTGCACGCTGGGGATGCAAAGCGGGGAGGGGGGAAGAGGGCTGTGAAGGGGGGACCATCTTTTTATTTTATTTTAGCCTGAAACATCCTCAGCTGTGGGTAGATGGAGCTCAGCCAGAGGAGAGTGGTGACACTCTTCAACCAGCTGCTGCCTAGCGGACTGTGGGTCCAAAATTACGTCTCCACACGTGCACACACACATGTGCACACACAGAGCTTTGTCATTAAATGGAGGAAGGTATGGGAACCCCAGATGGATCAAGGAGCCACTTGGGAAGGGATGGAAATGCCTGTAAACTAGCGAGATGCTGTGTCCCCCAGCTCCAATTTTGTAGGTTTGGAAGAATCCTGCGAAGGGCAAAAAGGAATATGAGATGCAGAGAAGAGGGCTGGAGTGGGGTGGGGAAACAGGCTGGGGCACCCCACCTTGCATGGGGGCCTGAGTGAATTAAGAGAGGAGCTTTTTCTGGAAGAATGGCTGTCCTTCAGGCCATTGCTCTCCCAGCAGGATCAAAGGCTTCTTAAATATCTGCCCATGTTCTTGTAACCCTACAAGTTTTATGGTATAACTTGGTTGGATTTTTTCCCCCTAATGGTGGGTGTTTCTTTGACTCTGTTTCGCTATGTTGGCAAAATAACCCTGCAACGAAAGGCAGGACCTTCACGCCCACCATCATCGCTCTGTGGCCTTGTTCCCACAAGGCGCTTAACCCAGTTGGCTGTGAACCCCGTTAGATCTCCTTATTGGCGGTCCTAACAGCATCCGATCACACCAAGGGGGTCGAAACGTTCTTTGGAAACTATCCCCAACTCCTGCTGTCTTTCTCCAGGCACTGGTGCCTAGTTGCCCTTGAGCCAGGAGAAGGTCCTGGCAAGGCTTCGCTGCACCCCTCAGCCCTTTCCAATTGGCCGGCCAGGCAGCAGGAGGTGTGGCTTGGCTCCATCGCGAAGAAGGCGGCTTTCTCGGAGCCACTCTTTCTCAGCAGCTCTCTTTCTTGGAGGACTGGATAGGCTAGATTGGGTCTGGTCACTGGGTTTCAGTGCTTGATGGTTCGGGTGACTGGGGAAAAGTTACTTGAACCCCATGCAAGACATCATCTCTTTAGGGCTAAAGGTATTCTCTGGGGTTAGTTGACTGGGTCAAACACCAACTTTTGGACATTCCCACGATATGCTTTGCACCACCACCCCACAGGTAAGAGGAGTAACCAAGGCAAGACCAGCCAGGAGAATTGCATTGAATGGCATTACATTGACTTCTCCTTTGAAGTCAGTTTTGGAAGGCATTTTCTTTTACCCAGTTGAATGGGAACTGGTAGAAAACACGCCAACATATTTCTCTGCCCAGCATTAAAACAGTCAGGAAGAGGGGGATGTGGTGGTGGTGAATTTGCCATGGGGAAGCCATCTGCATCTCTGAAGAGAGCCCCTCTCCCCCGGTCTCCCCAGCCCCCAACCTGCTGCGCTTGAGGGCCGTCTCCACGTTCTGCCCTCGGTGCTTGCGGTAGAAGTCGATGAAGGAGAAGGGGAGGGAGACGTTGAGAGGGTTGGCCCGGTGGGGTGCCGCTGTCCGCTTGCGGGCCTCGAAAGCGATGGTCAGGTCCACCCAGGCTGCTGGACGCTTGGCTTTGAAGGTGGCGATGAAGTCTTCGCCAAATATCTGGCAGAGCAGCTTCTCAAAGGCCAGGTCCACCCCGACAGCCCCGTAGGGACCACCTGGAAGGAAAGGGGAAGAACTAAGAGAAAGCGGAGCAGGTCAAGAGCGAGGAGATTCCTGGGCACTTCCTGCCTCCCAAGATAGGAGCCTGGAAGCACCTTTTCCGGGGAATCAAACCGGTTCATCAGAAAAGGTGCTTCCAGGCTCCTCCTGATTTGGGGCCACCGCCGACTAACACAGGTCTTCTTTCTCCAGGTTCCATTCTCCAAGAGGCAGGACCTCCTAGAAGCCAAACTTTTCCAGGAATGGCCCTGCTGCTTGTTTGGTTCTATTTCATCTGCTAAAGCACCTTTCCCCAACTCGATATGCTTCGGATATGTTGAACTGCTACTCCCCTCATCCCCAAACAGCCTGGGATCAAAACATCGGGAGGGTGCCCTGGGAAAAACTGGGGAGGGAGGGGACATTTGCTTAATCAAGTTTTTAAAAAATGGTCTTTCAAAGGAATGAGTAAAGTCTGGTTTGAGTCAAACTCAACTCCTGGTGTTCAGGGACACGTCCATGAAGTTTTCTTGGCGGAAATACAGAAATGGCTTGTCACTGCCTTCTTCTAGAATGGCTTTGCGACTTGGTAGTCTATCCTACAGCACCTGGTCTCCCATCCAAGTTCCAACCAAGCCTCGCCCTGCTTAGCTTTAGGGAAACGCAATGTTGGCCCAATGCTGCCACCTGCTGAACGTTTCTAGCAATGTGAAGAAGAGGTTTGGCACTGTCATCTGTCAAGATTTTTTCAACTAGTCATTTCAATGGTAGCCAGTAGATGGGGCCCTAGGATAAACTCAGCAACCAGTTTCCGGGGAGAGTGAGCACCTCCAACCAGGGAGAGAGAGAAGAAACTACCGTGGTCTGTTTTATCCTCCCCTCCCTCCCTCCCTCCCCTTTTTTTGTTTTCTTTACAACTTGCAAAATCACATTAACTGCTTCCATTTCAATCTGCACTGCAGGCAGAAAAGTGCACGCTGTTGCCAGTTTGGGCATTAAGGTCTCAGTCAGTTCCCCAACCTGATGATCTCCAGACACACTGGACTCCAACTCTTGTAATCCCCAGCTCACGTGTCCCAGATGATGCGTTGTGGTCCAATACATCTCAAAAGCATCAGGTTCAGGCAAGCTGGTCAAAACACTGAAAGCTAAAACGGCTACCTTAAACACTAGAAACGTTGGCACCAGAGGCTTAAAAATCTGGAGGGTGTCAGAGACAAGGTTTAAGCTGTAGGACAGTTTAAACCCTGGGGAGCATGAAACCTTCAGAAACCTAAGCGATGTTCTTACAAGTTGGCATCTTTGCCATGCACGCCAGCTCCTGAATCCCTCTGCACCCCCCTCCAATGGAGAGAAGAGACAGGGAAACTAGATTATGTCCCCCAGATGCAAAAGCCTGGTTCTCAGGGCTGGCAGTTTCCCCTTCATCAGGACAGATCCAAACGATGTCGGTTCAGGGAAAGCTCACCCTGTGAGCGGGAACCGCATGGAACTGACTGGGTCCCAGAGCCGTCCCACCGAATCTTTCTGTAGCGTTTTCATTTTAAGTGGTTCTGGCAACCCTCCATTAATAGAAAATAATATCTGTAGCTCAGATTTGAGTTGGAGTCCTTGGTGCTCTCTGAGCTTGGTGGTTTGACTGCAGACGTTTCGTTACCCAGCTAGGTGGCATCATCAGTGGGAGGGAGGGTGGAGTTTGCTCCCTGTTTATTTACATGCAGCCGCTCGCCCTGCCAGTGCCGGTGGGGGTCTGGTTTCCCCCTTGGCAGTGCCTTGATTAGGCTGTTGTTTTCTGCCTGACGGTTTGCCTGGTGTTAATCCCTGCTTAGCCGGGTGTTGGCCGCTGGAGGGGACGTGTTCTGGTCTTTTTGTTTCCTTCTTAGCTTTTCGTTGTCTCTTTTGAGTGGTGTGTAAATGTGGTTTATTTCTATGTGTCTATTGATGACTGATGGGGCTGAGTGCCAAGCTTCCTAGGTTTTTGGATTTAGCTTGGTGTAGGGAAAGCTACTGTATATAAACAGGAGCAAACCCCACCCTCCCTCGCGCTGATGATGTTACCTAGTCGGGTAATGAAACGCGTGCAAGCAAGCAACCAAGCTCAGAGAGCACCAAGGACTCGACAACCCTCTGTTAACTCTAGAGGAAGAAATCTTTGCAGACCAAGCTGGAAGAACAGCTGCAAATCAAATGACTTTCTTCTGCAACATGGGCATGCCCGCTGTTAGTACTTTACCTGTCCATTCCCAAGCTGGCAAAGTTTTGTAAATTAACAAAGGGAGAAAGAAAACGATCCCTGCCCCAAGGAACTTGCAAGCACAACTTTGATGGACAAAGCTGTGGGACGAAAGGAGTTGGATGGCATTCATGCAGCTCACCCTCTTTTCCCTTGGGGAGCACCGACCCCTCTGTGCCCCCCAAGGGCCCCTTCCCTCCAGCCTCACCTGATGCCTTGTAGAGTTCCTTCAGGGTACCCTGGGGCTGCTCGATCTGATGGACCGTCAGATCAACTGTCCCCCCTCCGCAGTCGGCCACGATATAGCGGTCCCCTGGACAGCAAAGAGAAGGCAGGTGAGGGGATGCCAGAGCGTAATGCAAATGCCCACCTGCTGTGTGACCACCTGAGATGTTTGGGGACAGGTCCGTGGAGGGAAAGAGGACTCAAGGTCCATCACTCGGGCATGATGTCATGGGGGCTTCTCCCAGACCCCAACAGGCAGGAGATCAAGGCAGGGCCAATGCCCCTCACACTGCTTAACCTAGAGCAGAACTGGTTCGGCTGCAGAACCCAGTTGAAATGAGTTGCCCAGAAGAGGAGTAAGTGTCCTCTTCTGCTGGGGGAGGGAGGGAAGGAGAACTTATGACTGGCACCGGAAGCTTTCGGTTTCAGTTCCTGCCCCCTTGGGGGTGACTAATGTGGCTTTTGCCAGATTCTTGATGCTGTTGTGGCTTCAGGACGTGGAAGAAAGCAGACTGGACTTGGCCTTGATTAGTTGTGGGGGAGGGGGGCAGCCAAGCCAGCAGGACCTCCTTATGCTTTCACCCCCACCCAGTCCAGGACTTCTTTAGCCAGTGGCTGAAAACCAGGACTCTCACAAGACATGCTGGAGAGATCAGGCCCCGAGAAAGTGGCCCTGCCTTCTGATGCTGACCTCTAGAGCCCGTTTCTCAACCTGGGCAACTTTAAGATACTGGCCGGGGAATTCTGGGAGTTGAAGTCCCCTGAAAGTTGCCAATTTTAAGAAACACTGCTGTAGACCGTTTCGGAGGCACCATCACAGAGGTTCCATAGAGTGTGGTCAAAAAGTCAGAATGGTGGCCACCACAGTACGATGGAAGCTCCGCCTGTCCTCAGGTTGCCTGCTCGTACCCCGCCAACATCCCTGGCACGACGACTTGCACAATGACTTCCAGCCCCGAACCAGATCGAGTCTGGTGTTCTGGACTCAGGTGCTGAATCCTGATCCTCCAGGGATCTTCTGTAGCGTTCCTCTTCCTCTCCTCATCCCTTGGCCAAAGGCAACCCCCAACTGGTGCTCTCTCTTTTGTGATCAAGGATTCCCATGGACTCAGGTGCGAAAGGAAAGTGGGCAGGTGAAGCTTAACCTCCCTTGGCTGTACCGGAAAAGAGGGCGGCAAGTTAACCCTTCCTCTGCCTCCGCCCAAACCAATCTCCTCCGTGCCCTGGGTGAGCTCTCTCCTTTGGGGCAAAGAGGACAGGTCCTGGTTGCCCGAAGGCAAAAGTTTTAAAATACTGGAGGAAACATTGGGAGCCAAAGGAAAGATTTCCTGGGCATCTGACAACCGACTCCTCTGAGCAGGGTGGTTTTAGGAAAGCAGGAGATGCCTTCTCCAATCTGGAGCGCTCTAGATACAGCAGCCCAGTTCTAATCATCTCCAGCCTCGGCCCTCCTCCTCTTCCCTTGCTCCTTCTGCCTCTTGCGGATGACACCGACTCTGGCCAGTACGTTGCCCGACCTGTATCCCTCACCTCTTCTGTGCCAACATCTCGCCCCCGGCCTCCAAGCCACCATCCCAGCCAGATGGCTTGGGACTCCGGCGCCCAGCCTTCCCGCCAGCCTTCCCCACGGACACCTACCTGTCTGCATTTCCGACCAGAGCTCGCCCACTCCAGACTCAATCAGGAAAGTCCGGCTGTGTCTGGACCGGCGGAGCTGTTCTCGGGCTGCGGGAAGAGAGGGCAGATGGTGGGACGCAAGTGGGGGAAGCGCAGGAGAAGTGAGAGTCTCCAAGGAGGAGCAGCGGGCTTTCTGAGCACCCTGGCTCCTCCGCTGGGGAGGCAGGGAGCTGCGTGTTGCAGAAGGAGTAAGAAAAAAAAGTGGAAAATTTGCCCAGCCGGGCATCTGGAGTTCTTCCCACCCCCTTTACCAGCAGCGGCCACAGGGGGCATCTCTACTTTGTCCTGTGCGACCAAGTAGCGCGTCGCAACTGAGCGTGTGTTTGCCTGCTAGGGATGTGTTGCAATCGGAAGCAGAGAGGGGGCTTTGGAGCCCGGGTGGGCACACAAGGCACACCCACGGGTGCCTTTTTAAAGATGCTGTGGCTGTTTCAGGGCTCACGTGGCGGTCACATCTTCCCAGGGAAAGACGTGTTTCTGTTAAGGAGGTGCTGATGGGGTGCAACAAGGTGCTTCCGGGATGGTGTGGCTGCGCTGTCAGCTCCTCCTTACCGCAGACTAAGTATTTTCCCGGGACTGCACGGCTACCCCGCCAATCCAGGGCAGATGCAGCTTTTTAAGGACATGCTGGGCAGGATGTCACGCACACTAATGCCCACTCTGAAGCACTTTGTCTGCACGGCACATCCCCGGTTTCTGCTCTCCCCTCGTGTTGCCTCCATGTGCGTTTGGGAGAATGCTGCCCTAGAAGGCCTGGGACGGCTGCACGCCCTCTGTGGTGAGTCGCCTGAGCAGAAGAGAGTCCAGCTTCGAACGGGGCAGTTGGCAACATCTCAGGCTGCTGCCCGACTGCCCCTCCCGTAGGATGCATTGGGGGAATGTGGGGGAGAAAAGGTCTTATTTTTCTGGGCCTCCTGCCTTCCCACCTCTGGCCTCAAGAAAGATGATTCTGCCCATGCAAAGAATCTGAACGTTATAATGTGTTGCATTTTTAGCCTCCTGATGCCAACCAAGAGTCACTTGGTTGAGGTGGGCGACTATAGAAATATAAATCCATCCATCCATCCATCCCTATGTAGGAGCCCCTGCTTTGCATCTTCACCATCAAAGTGGGGGGAAAGACATTTTGCCTTCAAGCACCTCTAGGCCAATTGGCTTCATTTCTCCACTAGTTTGGCTTTTTGGACCAAGTGCATTTCTTGAACACATGCAACGCACTTCCCAAAGACTGCAGAGGGAAGAGGGAAGATCGGGAATGAATGCAGAATGTCCTCCTGGGGCTGAGGATACAGCAGCCCGGGTACCAATTTCTTAATTTCTGCCTAAGGTCCCAATTAGAAGGGGAAATGAGCAGGACCCCTCCTCCAAGAACTCAAGGTAGGATCCCCCCTTCGTCTCCTTCTGGCACCCTTCAAAGCAGTTTTCCACGAGCAGGACTTGTACGGCCCACGGTTCGTTTCTCTAGTAAAATCAAGGCCAAGAATAGAAGTGCAGAGACACCCACCACGGAAGGAGGTTCCCACAAGAAAAATGGAATGGGTGTGTGGAACTCTTTGCCACCTCATTTTGCAACAGCAAAGCAGCCAAATACATTTAAACCAGCCAGATTTCTCTTGGAAACTCTTGGACATTCAGACGTCAATCAGCCTTTGGCGGCCTAGGAGGAGGTCCCGCGTCTCACGCTGCCTTTGAAGACAGAGGCTCCGTTCTGATGGGAGGACTCCCAGGCTCCCTGCCTTTCCCTGCCCGCCACCTCGCATTTGAAATCCTGCTTTGCCGTGGCCCCCTCTGGGCCTGCCCTCACCTACCCTGCCTGAAGCTGGAGTCAACAGGAAGGTCCGAGGCCAGGCCATTTGCCTGGGGCCTGTAGCTGAGATCGATCAGCTGGTTGAGGCGAAGTTTCCGGCAGTAGATAGAGGCTGCCTCTGGCTCCAGAGCGATCAGCAGCTGCTCGGGGTTCTCCGAAGGCACCAGCCCAGCCTGAACGGAAGAAGAGAAATGGGGGTCTTTGACTAGCCAGAAGTGAGCCGTTGCAGACGACACATCTGGAGGGCACCAGGTTGAGGAAGCCCAAGGCGACCAACCGGTGGCTTCTGCTGCAGAAAGATATTGGCCAGATCCTCTTGAGGAGGATCCTGCTCACTTCTGCTTGCTGGCCACGGAGACTCACTTCTGGCAGAACATCTCAAGAAGCTGAGCAATTTCCTGGGGATAAAAGGGGGCACAAGGCTTTCTGCTTTCACAGAACAACACCAAGGAGACGTAATCTCTACTGGAACAAGTTGGCTTCACGTAAGACGTTCTAACAAAAAAGGCACCTGCCTGCAAATTTACTGTTGCCTCTCCCAGCAGAGAACAAGAACTCTGGAAAGACAGCATTTTCACAAAGAGTGTCCTTGTGAAGAACCATCAACAGGGCAGTGGTTTGGGTGAGGGGACTATCCATGTCTTGCACTGAGAAAAGCCCCACTTAGCCCCCTTCTACTACTAGGAGTAGAAAGGAACTCTGCCTCTCCTCCTCTCCCCATTTCCATCCCTTCTCAACGTAAGCCTTGATCTGTTGGCAGGGATCGCCGATGGCTGCTCTTGTGGGCATTTTCCAAAACCAGGGCAAGCAAAGCAGAGACGGTGCCCCCCGTAATGCCGTGCCAAGGCGGCTCCAGCCTCATGTGGGAGGCCAACAGCAGAAAGGGCAGAAGCTGAGCAGCCCCAAACTGGGGTCTCACATCCTGAATTGATTCTGCCCACGCCAGCTCCCCCCACGCCTTTGGAGAGCTGATCCCCCCAGGGACATCTGCAGGTGAACAGGAGCTGGCCCTCTCTTTGCTGTGGGCTCAGGATCACGGATGACGGGACTAACCAAGCAAACCCAACTCTTGGGCTCTGCAGGGACACCCCCATCTCTGACTTAGAAATTCTTCCCACTGATCCTGCAGCCCTGGGGGGCAGCTGCCCTGCAGTGATTGGTCCGGGTTGCAGGAAAGGCCCTCTGCACATGGTCAGGAGTAACGAGACCCTGCCTAACTTCACCAACCCAAATCCTTGCTGCTCTGCTCTCTTACCCCAAATCCATCAACTACTGTAGGGAGGGGCCTTCTACAAAGCACACCCCCCCCCAGATTCTGTTGACTGCAGCACCCAGAATCCTGAGCCAGATCAGCCTTCAGGCATTGCGGTCCCTCCCGCCCCCAGGGCTGCCCCTGGGAAAGTGAAGTTACAGGCTCCGAATTCAGGTAGCCGCCCCAGGGGAGTCTTCCAGAAGTAGCTGGCTGGTTGGGTGGACCAGGTGCAATGGCGTTACACCCTCAGCCTGCCTCAGTTTACAATCTGTCATATCACCATCATGCCCAGCAGCCTCAGTTTCCCCTTTGGGCCTGAGGCATTGCTGTCCTGTCATCCCTAGCCCATGTTCGAGTGACACTTACACTGCCCTTGGTGTAAAGGTAGTTTACAACACGATCCCACCACGGCTTCAAGGTGAATACCGTCTGCAATGATTTGCCAGCTACTCTCTGTTGACCCCCGTGCGGCTGCGCGTGTCTGATGAGTCCCAGGGAGGATGGGACCGGCCACACGCTGCCTCCCGGTGGTCAGACGGAAGCACCACACAATTTTTCCCCACTCCAAGGGGGCTGGTCAGTTTCAGTGCTCCCAGGAAGATCCAGGATCCAGCTAGGAAATTAGCAATTAGGGGAATCACATCTTCCCCTCTTCTCGCTGCCCTGGAATCGTTCCACATACTGCTTTATTTCGCACTATTTTAACTTAAGAGCTGCCCAAAGGAAACGGGAGCAGAAACAGACCCAGCCAGCCCACAGGTGCTCGGTAGAGTGGCGGTTGGTGCAATAAAAGCCTGGCAAACCCTTCAGGGCTGGGTGAGCCTCATCAAGAGAGCTACAATAAACTTGTTGGGGGCTCTTTGGGGCTTTGACAATAGTGTGGGTCTCCTTACGGAGTTCTCCCCACCTCTTTCTGGAAAGGCAGGGGGCAAAGGGCAGATCTGTGCCTTTTGGCAGCTGAGGGAGCTCTTCCCCGGCACACTCACCAGATAGGCAGCTTCTCGCATGAACTGTTTAGCCGGCTGCTTCCAAATGGCGGGCACCGTGATCACCCACCGGATGGCATCTGCCACAGGCAATGCAGGGCACTGGTCCTTCAGTTCCTGCAAAAAGTGAGGGTCAAAGGGGGACCAGCTGCATGTCAGGGCCAGGAGGAAATCTATGCTCTAGCACACCAGATAGGCACACCCACAGCCACACCCACACTCCCCCCAGCTGCACACTTGCTCCCCCCCCCCCGGTTTACCCTGAATCACAAATGAGGGGCCATGTTCTCTTGCATCAGGATGCACCCACCGCCTGGCCAACCTCGGCAGCGCTTTGTAGCTTGACATGGTTAAAGGCCCCAAAACATCTCTGCCCTGCAACTTCTGACCACCTTTGCAGGACGGTGCAACTCCTCCGCTGGCTCTCCCCTCAGCACTGAGAACTGGAATAACCAGAGATGTTTTTGCTTGAAAATTTACTGACTCTGCACTGCCCTGCACTGGTGTTCCATGCGCTCCAGAGAGCAAGAGTTGGCAGTTGGATGCCCGAAGGAAACTCAGGAACGGGAAGGAAGCGTTAGGATGCGGAAGAAGATGCCGAGAGGGCTAGAAAGGGAATCTAGTTAGTTGAGAAGAGTAGATCATATCTGCCTCCAACCACTGGAAAAAGATCTCCTTCGTACCTGCACGGCCTGCCGCTTGAAGAAACGAAGGGCGTGAGCGAAGACCTCCAAGGCTTGCAGCGTCTTCCCGTTCACCGCCGCCAGTTCGGTCTTCATGCTCAAATCCTGCCAAAAGGCAACGCCAACATCACGCATCAACCTCACTCTGCTCAGGAACCAGAGCAGCTTTTGCACAGAGCAGAGAGCAAGGAAGATGACCTGGATGGAAATACGCAGGAACTGTTCCCTAGGCAAAAAGGGTTGGAACATTTTTTAAGTCCAGAACAGTAAGATAACATTTGGAAGCGGCTCAGACAGACACCTCCCTGATTCACTGGAGTGTAAGGGGGAGGAGGAGGAGGTCCAGCACAATCAGGCTTGCACGATTCTGTTCTTAGAGCCCATCTCAGTCAAAGTAGTTCTAGCCTTCCTGTGGAGCTGATATCTTGGTCTGGTCTACCTGGTGGGGCTGGCACACGGCCCACTAGACCCTGGACCTGGGCGCACAAGCACAGCTGCTGTGTTGCAGAACGTGCTACCCCAAGCCACGAGGCCATCCTCCCTGAATCGCGCCAGGGAAGAGAGACCTCTCCATTCTCCACCACCTTGGAGGACGCAGGTCACGACGGGCAGAGGTCACGCGCCAGCACTTGCACAAGCACACCGCTCGAGAAGGCTCTCCGATGGGTCCAGCTCCAGCTGCCAGCCACATATTTCTGGGGGAAGACGCTGGCACGGGGGAATCTGCCAACCTCTTCCCAAATGTAACTGGCGATGCTGCTGCAGCCAAAGGGACTTATTCGTAAGTAAAGAACTCATACGCCCAATTTGTATGGCAAATAGTTTAAACAAGTCAGTAACCACTCATGGCAGTGTTGTCCAAACTTGTCCACTTCCCCATGCTGGCTGGGGAATTCTGGGAGTTGAAGTCCACTCATCTTAAAGTGGACAAGTTTGGACAACACTGGGTTATGGGGTCTGCCTGCCAGCTAGCAGGGCCTGTCTCCTTGCTCAGAGTCTGCTCGAAGCTGAGAACCGGGACGGGGCCAACCTGGAGCCCCCGGGAACAGAGAGAAATGTCTTGCATTCATCCCAAGCTCTCTACTGTGTTTCCGTGCCAGCAAAACAGCTCCGGTTTTCCGAAATACAAGGTCTGGAGCATGCAATTTGCAGCAGAAATTGCCTTAAAATAAATGGCACAAATTGGAGTCTCCAGCACAGGAGCCATCATGTACGTCACGACGTGCATAAAAAACAGGACAGCGCATAAAAACACACGTACAAAACAGGCAGAGCTTTGATCACACCGTCGTGGCTCCCACCTTGACTTTTTTGACCCCCCAGTTGGACTACACCTCCCAAGAACCTTGTTGGCTGGAGGGATGGGAGCTCTAGTCCCCCACGCCAGCGGACCCCAGCTGGGTGCCCCCCCGTCCTGCTTCCTTGGACCCACTCACGCTGGAGCTGTGGATCTTCATTTTGAACTTTTCGAAGTACAGCCAGTCCCGGGCCTCCTCGGGGTCCAGATCGTGGTAATAATCCCGGGCAGTGTAGCCAAAGCTGTGGAAGGAGCCTTCCGGCGTCAGGAGAAGGCTGGTGGGGGTCTTCTGGTGGGCCACCCCAGGGTCTCCTCCTTCCCATTTCCTGCCAGGAAAAATCCAAAGTGGAACTTAATTCTCCCCACCTCGCAGGGGCTAACGGCGTTCCCCAAAACTAAGTTCCCCAGAACTCCAAGAGAGCCAGTTTTCACTCCAAGCGGTGAAGGCTCCAGGCTAGAAAGCAGGAGGCTCTGAGTTCTAGTCCCGCCTGAGGCATGAAAGCCAGCTGGGTGGCTTTGGGCCAGTCCCTCTCCCTCAGCCCAATCCACCTCACAGGGTTGTTGTGATGGGGAAAAGAGGAGGAGGAAGGAGCATTGTGTGTTCCCCACCTTGAGTTATTTATGAAAACAAGAAAGGCAGCATAAAAAAAGTCTTTAAAAAAACAGAAGGGTTGTGTCTGGGGCTGGCCTGTTCTGCAAAACGAATTCATCTGCCTGAATTTTGCAGCATGCAAGTCGGGGCTCTGCTGAACTTTGTATGGTACCCAAAGAAATTTTGTCCAAAGGGATTTCGCATTTGGAGCCGGGCCCACAGCGGGGTCCAGGTGTTCCTTTGACATGGATTTAGCCCTCCGCCCCCTTTTATTTAGCAAGACCCTCTTCCGTGACTAAGATCATCTGGGCACGTTTACGTTCAAGAAGCGTCCCTCAGTGAAGACTCAGCAAAATGTTTCCTCCTAATCTCAAGTTATTGTTTCTTGCCGGTGAGAAAATAAATATTATTTAAACACTATCACTCTCTAAACTGCTTTAGTATCTCTTCCCATGGCGGGGGGGGGCGGGGGGAGGAAGAATTTAACTGCGAGTTTCCTTTTGGGACTTCTTCTGCTTTTTATTTATAGTGTGAACTTTTATAAAGTAACAACTCAGAACTCCTATGCCCTGGGCACAACATAGCAGAATGGGCTTCGTACACTGTTTTCAGTGCCATCTTATTTGCCCATTAAAAACGTTCAAATCTTGCTCTTCATCCAATGGAAAGGGAGCCGCCAGGAACTAAAAATCGGGCTGTCCTCGAGAAAATCTAAAGCCCGTGCTCCAAAATCTCACATAGGCAGGGAGATCCTGATATCGGGGCTGGGCGCAATCTTTTGGTGGGGTCCCATCCTTGGCACAGCTCTCCCACCCGAAACATGCCCGTGGAAAGCAAATATTCTTTGTTCCTTCATGCAGAGAATATTCAGAGACTATCCTGCCAACGACTGGAGATCTGAAGAACAAATGCCTGTGTGTGTGTGTGTGTGTGTGTGCATTTGTGTGTCTGGGAGACAGACGCATTTCGATCGTGCATTTCAGCTCCACGTGGTACCTCATCATGTGCAGGGTCTCTGGGTCACTGACAAAGCTGAAGGCGTAGCCGCTGGAAGTGGTGCCGAAGTCGATGGCCACCACCACGCAGAAGGGAGTGGGTGGTCGCCTCCGGATCTCATTTCTCTGCAAAGCACCCACAAAGATGTCAGGCCCTGCAGGAGGACTTAGGGATTTCCCACTAATGCAGAATCTGGCCCCAGCCCCATACACCCCACGCTTACTGCTAGAGCAGGGTTTCTCAACCTTGGCAACTTTGAGAGGGGTGGACTTCAACTCCCAGAATTCCCCAGCCAGCAAGGCTG